CCTCACTCCCAACCCACAGCCCTCTACAGTCCTTCTGGTGCCCCCTCCCTCCCCCCCCCACAGCCCCCTAGCCATACGGCGGGGGGGAAGGGGAAGGAAAGCTCCCAGCTGCCAGGGCTACAGAGCAGAAGACCCAGGTTTGCAGCCCCCTGCCCCACCCCAGCAGCATCTAAGCCCTGGCTGCTGCCCATAGGAGAAAGCAGCTGCTGTGGCCTGAGCAGTGCAGAGACCAGCTCCCCCTCCCCCACAGGCACCATGGCTGGAGCAGAGCTGGGGTGGGGGAGGGATGCGGACTGATGGCTGTGGGCTCAGCGGGGGAGGCAGCACAGAGTTGTGCCCCCTACTCCTGCTGATGGGCAGGGGATGCCTTGCCATGGCAGCATGGAGCTGTTGGCAGCAGCACTGAGCCTCCCCGGCCTCACTGTGCCCTGCCATGCCAGGTCCTGCCTGCTGGGCTGCTGAGGTCCTGGGGTGAGGGCAGCAGGGCAGGGAGCCCCAAGCCCACATCCGCCTCACCCCCACAGGCTCCACTCCAGCTGTGCTACCCATGGGGGAGGTGAGGTCCTGGGGTGAGGGCAGCAGGGCAGGGAGCCCCAAGCCCACATCCGCCTCACCCCCACAGGCTCCACTCCAGCTGTGCTACCCATGGGGGAGGGGGAGCCAGGCTCTGCTCAGGCCGCTGCAGACCCGGGTCCCCAACCTGCGCGCAAATCTGGGGGGCATGAACCCCCCCATGCCCCTCACTCCTGGGAGTGCACACGGTGGCAGGGAGCCAGCCCTCCAGCTGCCCCCTGGACAAGCAGCCCATATCTCCATCTCACTCCCTGCCCAGGCCCCGTGGCAGCACATTCCCACCTTAGCTTCAAGCCCCAGGCACCACCCAAGTTGAGCAGTGCCCCCAGCCCTACCTAACTCCCTCCCTATGGGGGCCTCAATCTCCCTCCCCCCCCACAACTTATCTGCAGGAGCTGTTCTCCAGACTGTCTGGCTGCCACAAGCATGTACGTGTGGCACCCCCTGCTGGATCACTCTCCTCTGCTCCCCCCAGACTCTTGCAGGCTGGAACTCTGCCAGCCTGCAAGGGGAAATCCACTGTTTTCTGTCTTTTTCTCTTTTAAAGGAGAAAATCTGTAGGTTTTTTTCTCTCCTTTAAGAGAAAACCCATGGTTTTCTATATTTTTCCATGTCAAGCAGAAAACCCGGATCTTGGTGATGAAGGATGTGAATGGACAAGATGACCCTGGTGGGATGCTCAGGGGAGTCGGCGGTGGCCCTCTCTCCACTACAGTTCAGCTGCTGTGAGCAGGTTAACTTGCTGTGCTAGTGACAGGGTAGGAAGAGGTCATTATGATGATGGAATACTTCTAAGGGTTAAAGCACCTGATGCTGAGCTGTGGTGTTTCCCGTCCCTAAGCTGTGACTTCTTTATCACTACTGTATGATTTGTTTTCATAAGAATAGAAACTGACCTGGGACCTTTTCTATTATGGGGATTTATGGATAGAGCAAGCCATTTACAATATTGTGGGTGAACAAACTGCCTTGCATAGACAAGAGAGAGATAATTAATGATATCTAATTGGGGCAATAAATAGTTTATTACAGAGGCACACTGGAACACAAAAGCTTCCTTCTATGGGACAAAATAGTGCACAAATAGTTAGCCCAGAATAAGATATTGAACACAACATCCTGTTACCCTGTTGCCCCCACCTTGGCCATTCATTCTCCAGGGTTATGAAGCTATGAACATTTATTGCCAATCAGTATATTGAATAACAGCTCAGTGGGCTCCCAAAACAGACCTTCAGTACCTTCCAGGAAAACACCATGAAATTCTGAGTGAGTGTAAGTCAAGGGGATCAAGGTTTTACCCTGTAAGTGGAATAAGGATTTGGCACTGACTGGTATGTTGATGGCTTTGATATTGGAAATAGACTTCAGCTGTGAGCTCTGAAGTCATGTACTGATATTGGTCCTTAGCGAGATTTACATATACCTTTCAGACAAGAGTTCACATATTCTATGAAGGATGCTATATTGCTGATATTTTTCAGTTGCTGGTCGAATTAATTAACATAGCTAATTAGACTGCAGCAAGGATTTCTTAGGGTGATTGATATCTTTTACTGCACCAACTATGTAGTTGGGATAAAGTTAAATGAAGACATTCTCTGTCAGGTTACAGCTACAGCATTGCTCTTACACTACCTTGTTTAGACTGGTAATTGAAAGGGACCCAGCTCAACTTGCACCCCAAAATGGAGCAATTACTTTGTGTTTTATTCTTTCCCCCCCTCCCCCTTTCAGATGATTTTGGGCTCCTCCTGAGGTTGGTACTACATGCCACTTTTTTCCTGATGCACCTTCTACACCAACCCTTCCTGTCCTGTGTCTACAGCGATGCCCTCTTCACTCTTTCTCCAATCCTTTAATCCAAACCTTTAATCCATCTCTTACTGCCATGAGAACTTCCCTTTGGCCTACCTCTGCTGCCACCCAGTGTGCAGACCCTGGTAGGGTCCACCTTTATCCATCAGGTGGATAAAGAGCAGCCTCACCCTCACTGTTGCTGCCCATCCTTCTTTCCATAACAGCTCCCAGAGAATTGTTAAAAACCCTAATGGATCCTTCAGTGGATGTCCATGTGCACTCCGCACTGCTGCTCTGCAAATGCTTGTTTGGTGTTGTTTATTTTATGCAATAGTAACCTCGGGGCTTGAGATGAGATCTGGGTGCACTGGTGCCATGCTGGTAATGCAGCTGCCACAGAAGCAGGCACCTGACTGGGGGTGATGGTATTTTGCCCCAGTGACCCATCTTTTGGACATTTAATATAAAACTACATACTGCACAACCTGAGAATCCCTGGTGAGCAGTAGATCAAAAGTATTACCCTGGAATAATAAATCTATGTAATCTCTAACTGCTCTGCTTTTGCCTCTTTGTTGGTACATTCACTTCATTCCCACTGGTTGCCCCTGTAAGGCATAGCTTAAGATTTTAGGTTGATTATCAAATACCCTAATTAGACAGCATCCCAGGTACCTCTCTCTCTCAGTCTGGGTACCATCCCATTCTTAGAGGTTTTAAGAGGTGGAGCTTTTGAAATCTGGGTTGGCTTATATCACAGAATTTCTTTCCTCTTAGAAGCAGACCAGGGAATTTGCCCCTTTTTAAAGCATGTTTTTTTCCAGAGGTCTCTGCCTCTGTATTTTGATGTTAGTTATGGTTTAAATTACAATTGGTGCCAGCCCTTTACATGGTGGTTGTACTGGAAAGCATCTGGGCTGAAAATGCAGTGTACACTGAATTCACACGGAACTGAGAAATCATCTGAGCGCAATTTGACAAATCCATTCTGATAGACATAAACATTAAAGCAGCATTTAGGATTAGAAAAAGCATATCAGGCTCCATGGTGAACCCAAATAACCAGAGAAAAGAAATACAAATTTTATTCTTTTTCTTTCCAACACAATAAACTCTTTCCAGAGCAAATTAGAAATACAGATACAACTTCCTACCAGCAAGAAAGAGACATCCTTGAAAGGAGGGACAGGAAAGTAAGATACAGTGGTTCCAGAACACAACAACATGGGAGTGAGGGGGCATTCAGGCTCTTTTGGGTGGGAAATTGCCCAAGGTATGTCATTGTATACGTAGCAGGATTTAACCTGCTGGAAAAATAAACACATGCTCATTTTATTTATGGAAAAGCTGTTCATGGGATTCCAGATAGGTGATTTATGAACCATATCACATAGTGTGATGTATAAAAGCCACGTGAGACTAAAGGAAAAACCTTTAGCTATCTAGTTTACAAACAACAGCATCCAAAGCTATAACCTTTTCAGTAGCGCACTGTCTGGGTGGGCAGTGGCATTCATATGAGTGCTATTTCTCTGTCAGGCTTTCTGGGCAGGCAGGAACTTGGCTATTACCAGCTGCTGTATGATAATAATCCTTAGTCCTTGAAGTCAATTCCATTTGTAGGTCTCAATGGCTTGTCTTTTTACTAGAAAACAAGGTATGTTCTTATTCTCTGCAAAGATCCTGGCATAAGTAAGGCAAGGTGTAGCCTTAACAAGTTTCCCCTGGGGTTTCCTATGCCTAGTTCTCTTCTCTATTTATCAAACAGCCATTCGTCTTCATTCCCTTACCTTTTGTCACCATTAATTCAGTACCCTGAGGCTGAGTCCCACCACCAGTCACCCACTGATGCCTCCTCCGTGTTGCAAATACTTATAAAGCCACTGTACTGCCCTTCCAATTCTTCCCTAGCACTCTCTTCTACTGTGATGGCTGCAAAGTCTTGACAGCAGTTAGTCCACTGGTGGACTGAGGTCAGTGCATTGCTGTATCCAGCTGCTGGCGCTCATATGCTGTCTAAATTGTAAATTTGTCAGGGCAGGGACTATCTTTTTGTTCTGTGGCCATACAGAATGAAGTACAGTGGGGGCCCTGGGTCCATCAATGGGGGTCCTAGGGACTATGAGAATTCAAGTAATAAATACTACAGCCTGAAAAAAATGCACTGCCTTGTCTATTCTTACATGGGTTAGTTAACATGGGTTGGTCTGTTCTCTCCCTTGAAGGAAAGGCCTGAGTGTTTCTCATACAAAGTATCTCATTGAGCTCCACAATGAACCTCTGAAATGGTTCACAGATGGGGAAAATGAGCCGTGGGGAGGAACTGCCCTAGGTCAAACCAGCTAGTCAGTGTCAAAACTGGGACTACTCAGGAACCTGCCTCCCATCACAGCATTTAAATGCTCCAATCACAGTATTTAGATGAAAGATTTCAAGGCAAAGGTTGGTGCCTATGAAGCACTTGGCACACACAAGTGGTATAAATACCCCACTGCCTCCCAGTAAGTGCATGGGAGGCCAAGATGTTTACAGACCTAGCAGCTCTTCACCAAAGGAGTTGCCTGCCTTGCTTTACATCCCTATCTCTGGGGATTAAACTGTGCTTCTCTGATAAATCCTGACTGACAGAATCCAATTCCTCCCCATCAGTGCGCTGCTCTGTGAGATTTCCATTAACACCACAAGGAAATAGTTTATTTCTAGCCCCGCCAGTTTTTTGTTCAGCAGGCCAGTGAGTTACAGCCCAGTGATAGACCTTTTTCCCTCTGGCAGGCCTGGGCTCAGAAATAAATTGATGTAAGATGTCTCACTGTTTGCTTTTCACTGCTGTGAGTGACTGTCCCTTTCAAGGCATCTCAGTCCTGCCTTAATGACATGATGCAGAGAGCTCAGGGGTCTGGAACATGTGATGGGGGTGGGCCCATTGTACTTATTAGCAGGTGACATTTTGGCCTGCTCTAGATGTGATTCATTGCAGTGTTTGCCATGAAACCATTGTTCAGGGAGAAGAGATTGGAAGGAGCCGCTGGTGGATGCATTTCTGGGTTGGATGAAGCTGGGATTTGAGCACGGAAGTCAAGCAAGTGGCGATTCTCTTTCAGCCCCACATACCTCTGGGCCAACAAACGCCTGGGGGGTGGGGCAAGAAGCCACACTGGGACATGCCGGCAAAAGTGCCTGGGGAGCTTCATTGTTTGTCTGAACTCAGCAGATCAGCTGACTGGCAACGTGAATCACCCACAGTTACTTGGGCAAGAGAGGAGTAATTCGGGGGTGGGAGCTCAAACAGTGATCTAGGCAGTGGGCCCTTTCCCTGGTACCTAGTTCATCAGCAATGGCATGGTCTGGAGCAACTCAGCAAGAGGTTCCCTGGAACTAGCTCCACAAGGTTGCGGCATCATGGGGAAAGGTTTGCAAACAAGGGGAGGCCTGTCTGGAATCACACAGTATGGAGACTGTCTGCTTCTCTGGGGCTTTCTGCTTTTCCTCCTCAAACCCCTTCCCCTCCACTGCCTCTCCCCCCACACTTTCCCTCCAACACACATTATTTTTTGGTGCTACAAAGAGCAGTTAAATACAAGGATTTCTCTTGTCATGGGCACATTGGGAGTCTTGTTCTGGAGGAAATAGTGAGGTGCTAGTCAAAGTGGCTTGGGGCTCTCGTTTTGCTGCACTAGCACTGAGACCAGGTAACTCATGTCATGTCTGGCACCAGCTGAAGGCCTTGAAAGAAATACAAACACAAGAAAGGAAATGCTGCCCAGCCTGGGGGTGGCTGTAGCATCCCAGTCCACCTAATGGCTGCCTTCAGGATCCGACGCGTGATTTTTCATCTGTGAAAGGAAAGAGAGACAAAGTGCACCTTCTGCTCTGTCTTGCTGGGCCACAGCACCAAATGTGGGATCAGTGGGCCCTGACCCCTGCTTGTGCATACAGAGATATCTCCAGTGCCTCCCACAGGTCTGTGGCATACGCCATGTCATATCCAGCCTGACCTGCGTACTTTATTGCACCAGGGTGGGTCAGGTGTCTGGCACATCCAGAACCCTCTTGCGCTCTAGATTTAGATAAGGGTGAGCTGGCATAGATCAAATCAAGATCACAATGAGGGCATGTCTACACTTCACCAGCTAGAACTTGTGTGGATATATCTGAGCTAGCTTTAAAGAATCTAGTTTGGGCACCACTAGGGGTGCAGCCCTTTTCAGAACCCATCCAAGCTCCCACCCCACCCAAGAACGGCTCCACACTAAGTGCTAAGCAACCACATTTTTATTGATAGCCGTGCTCAGGTTTGCTGGTCTAAGGCTAGATAGTGGGGATGGGCTTGGAAGGCCCTGGGTGGAGGTGATGGGAGGTGTTTTCAGCTCCTTTGTCTGATGGTGGTTAAGCAAATTTCATGACTCAAGGGAAGCAGGGGCATGGGAGGTTTTAAAAGATACCAACAGAAGTAAGGCACTATCTTCTACAAACTCAGCCATGACTGCCAAGCCCTTCCCCTGACCAGCTACTACACAATATGCAGGGAGCAGGTGTGTTCATTTTTCTACTTGGAAGCAGGACCTTCTCATCATGACCTGGGTCTTGGGCACCATCAGGCTGGATGCAGCCATGTGCCCTCCTGGGGCTTCACTGGCAAACAGAGGCTGGCACAGACACTCCTATCTCAGCAGGTTTACCCATCCAACAGCCTGAAAGCCCAACACCCCCATCCCAACCACAGGGAGTTCCTGACAACCTGAAAGCATACTCCGACACTGGTGCTGGCCCATGGCTAAGGCAATCCCTGCAACAGCAAGAGTAGAGAAAAATCGCAGCAAAGCCCAGCAATGTTAGAGTTCCCCTCACCAAAGTTATCTGTCCGCTGCCTGCTAGGGCCAAGCCAGTGCCAGGGTATGTGCTGGTATCCATTATGTGTACAATGGCAGGGCTCAGCAGTCTCAGCTGAGACCACCTGGGCCTCATGAATAATAATCAAAGTAAGCCAAAGGCCCAAACAGGGGGAGTGAAGGATGAGGTCTCCCCACAGGCCGAATAGAATAGAACCCTGGAGTCCCCACTTGACCAGTCTACTCTATGGCTAGGTACAGACACTCAAAAAACCCGAGGCTGAATCAATTCAGTCTTGGCAGGTCAGTCTAAACTTCACAGATTGAACCAATAAGCAAGTGAACAGACATTCACTTTTGATTCCAGAAATGCAGCCACAGGCCTGCAGTGGCTCAGGCCAGAAGCAGGAGGGGGGGGGTGGCAGAGTATGCCTCCCTGCTGGGCTGGAGCAGACAGCTTGGGGGAGGTGCAAAGTATCTTGGGATGCTGGGGGATTGTCAGTTCACTTGAATCTGGAGGGGATCCGAGACAGAAGCTCAATACACCAACTTAACCTTAATCAGAAATCCAGTGCCGTAGCAAGGGAGGGAAGGTAAGCGGGGCGACTACACTGGGCACCTAAGCAAGGGAGTGCCATCAGGCACTGCCCAGCCAGGGTGGGATGTGGGACAGAGCTGCAAGTGGCTCATTTGGGCAGATGCAGGGATGGGGGAAGGGCGGCTCCCGCCGCTGCCTGTACTCCCAGGCAAGCATGAGGGGGCATGTGCCCCCCCAGATCTATGTGCAGGGTGAGGACAGGCTGCCACTATGGGCTTTGCCCTGGGTGCCAAACTTCGTTGCTATGGCACTGACTATATTCATCCAGATTTATCTTAAACTGGTTTCAGCTATTCTGAAAGCAGTTTTTGTGCACTGAACTTCTGTTGTGTTACAGATTTGAACCAGTTTCCAGTCACTTATACCAGTTTATATGTAACTTCTGTCCCTTAACACTATGTCTTTCTCCAGCTGGGAGGAGGAGGCCCCTGAAGGGGTTCCTCCTCCCCAGTGGTACTGCCACTGGTAACTACATATTTGGCAAGATGGATGACTTGCAGGAAACCATGTCTGGGTCCGGGCTCTCTGGCTGGCACCGGTTTCCAGCATGCAATAGAAGGGGCTGGCTTCAGTGCTGGGTACCTTATGGTTTGCCTTTCCACCCATGAAATTCTGCAGTAGCTGAAAGCAACTAAAGGCACATGCCCTTTAACAGTCCTCTCTTTTAAAAGAAGGCCTTGGCAATGTGTCTGCTTGGGCTGGCAGGGTGTGGAAGCAGGGCATTTCTTGACGGTGGAATGCACTGCCCCATCCAGAGCCTTGGCATACTGGCATTCAGGTATTGGTACAAAGTTCACCTGCCCTTTAGAAATAAGGGGTAGACAGTGGAGACTTCTCAGGTGGGCTGGGAGAGGCTTAGATTTAATGTTGCTTTTAAAATGGCACTGCACAAATACAGCTCGGGGAACTGTATACGAATCAGGGGATGGGCCCACTTTGTTGCAACGTATTGGTTCTGATTGGTTCAATCACATGCACAAGTTAGACTTCACTGGCAAAAACAATTCTCAAAACCTGGCTCTACAGGTTTGGCCTTTTACCAATGGGTGCGGACATGTGTGTATGTGGAAGGTCTTGGACTTGATCCTTTTTGTTTCTGTGCAGGCAGGTTGGCACAGAGCCACTTCCACTACTAGAGAAAAGAGGAAAATAGTTTCACCACCCCCCTACCCACAGCAGCAGGAGCCCAGTAGGGAGTACCAGTTGTGATGCTCTCAATGCTGTCAGATAATACAAAGGAGCATTTCAGCAGAGGCTGGAGTGAAGGCAGTCATCAAAGAGCTGCCAGGTGCTGTTTCAAAGCAGGCAATTCAATCGATGCTGAACAAAGAGATCTAGAGCTAGAGAAATGTAATTAAAATGGTAAAAAAAAATCCATGCGGCCTCAGTGGCTCTAGCTGGCTGATGCCTCAGCATGGGGCCTGCCTCAGATTGAATGACCAAATTTGATTAGCCAGAAATGCCACAAAATATCCCAGGTGAACTAGGAGGGTGATTGTGCTGCTGGCTGAGCTAAGGCAACAGTCACCCTCACCTGCTTCAGCCATAGATTGAGTCCTTCCTCTACCTCAATTGTGGCTTGGATGGCCATGTCTGCACCAGAAAGTTTCACCACTAGGGCTTTGGGCTGCTTACAACAGCCAGCCCACACTGCAATATGGCCACAGCATGCATACACCTGGTTACCTGGCAATATGGCCACTGCATGCATACACTTGCACACCTTCACTGCATGTGGCAGCATCAGTTGAAGACAGTGCACAACAGCTAGGCAACTCAGTGTCCTCACAGTCACCATTGTGCACAGCCTCAAGGAATATTTTTGCAGTGTGTTGTGGGATGTAACTGCACCCCTCCCCCCAAGGAATTATGAGAGGTCAAGTTCCCAGAATGTTTCCTGAATCCCACAATTTCTGTGCCATTTTCTGACCATTTCACAATTCCTCTCACCATTTTTTCTCTCTGCTCCCAACATGAATCCTACGTAGATCAGTGGAGTGTGCCAGAGCCCCACCCCCAGCCCCTACTGATCCAGCTTCTTAGGGCCCCTTTGGATTCTCTATCTTTGGGTGCTCCACACTGAGGCATCAGACAGTAAGAGCCACTAGGGCTGCATGGATTTTTTTAAATCATTTTGATTTACAAATCTGTAGCCCCAGATCTCCTTGTTGGGCACTGACTGATCTTTGAGTAGCTCAAGCTAGATTTCTTTGCCTTCTGGGTCAAGTGTTAGGATGCAGTCACCAGGGAAGAGAAACACTTTGGAACTGGGAGGGATGCTAGCGCCATCTGAGAGAGAACCCAACATTGTGTCACTGTACCCATCTACTAGAGATCAAGGCTTATATATCATGGCAGGTGCTGGGACTGGCTAGCTTATGGGCCACAGCCCCCTGGCAACAGGAAATCGATGGAAATGTTCATTAACAAGGCCCCCTGAGATAGGAGGTGATATGCAGGTAGCAATTTACCTCTCAAGCTGTCATGAGAGTGTGTTTAATATAACACTCCCTTGCAGCACATTGCAGGGTGAGAACTGAAATTACCCTCCTGAAATAGCACCAAGCTAGTACTGACACCAAGTCTGCAAAATCTCCAGAGCCTCAGATACAATGTAGGGATTTCCACAGCTTGATGGTGCAATGTAATTAGATGTGAAGATGCAGTGCCTTCCTAATGGCTTCTCCTTTCCTTTCACTTGCAGATCACAGGAAGCTCTGAGGGGGAAGGCTTTGGTACTGTTAACAGCTCTGCTAAAGAATATTTCCACTTCATTGACTTCTTGGAGCCCAACGACTTAACCCCTCTAGTGCCAGAGTGTAGTGCTTCCAACCCTTCTACTAATGTGGCATCAGAAACCGTGAGGAAGAGAGTATGTATCAGCCACATTTGCCCAGGGTTCTTCTGAGCTACAAGAAGCCTGAAGAGAAGAGCAAAATAAATCCCTTATAATGCCATGAATGCCAAACTTTCTTTGGCCCTTTGGAAAGTCCTAGCCTCAGTGTTCTAGGGCACGGGCAGCTACTCAGTCAAGCCAATTCTATGAGTGCTAGATCATGCCAGAGCATGTCAGTGTGCAGAAGTGAGGGCCTAGCCTGGGTGCTGGTGGACAGCCATGCCAGCTCTGCTCCAGCCAAGGACAGGAAGGCCTCAACCACTAATAGCATTTTGCAAAAGTGGATCCAGGCCTTGGAAGGAGAAGACTTATTTTTAGGTTTTATCCAACAAAGTATTAAATTAGAATTGTCTGGCTGCTGTTGCTTTGTAGCCATTCCTGAGATGTACTTAGCTGTTTCTGTCAATCAAAGCCAGGGTGTTTGATGCCCTAATATTAACCCTCTTGAAGAAGCTATGGTAACCCAAGGGTTGTGGGGGCTGGGGAAGCTGAGCTCCATTCGTAGCCCAGAAAGCAGCACACCCACTGCAGAAGGTCTACTGTTATGTAGGAATTGCTGACCTGGATCAGTATTCTGTCTATGGATCAGATTCATTCAGTGCTCTGTCTCATACAGGCCAGTGATGGTTGCTTCTGAGGAAGGCATTGGATCAATGATAGGTAGTCCCACATGTCCATGGTACTTCATAGACAAACAAAAGCCTTGGGGCCCTATTCTCTCCACCCTCTTTGTTTACACCCTTGTAACTATTGACTAAAGTAGAGTAATGCCTGGTCTGCCCTGGGGCCAGGTCAGAATCCAGGCTTAATTCCCCATCTGCTCCAGGTGAGTCTGAATATGTTATGGTGCCTCTTGGTGCTCCCAAGAGGGCTGTGCAGAACTGCGACATATCTTTGAAATGTATGGACTGCCATCCCTTGCCATGTCAAGCCCATACTGTCATTTTGACTGGTTTTCTGCCCTCATGTGTGAAATATCACAGGATGGGATGTCCACAGAAAAACCTGTATGGAGCCCAGTCATTGAGCTTCTTTTTGCCCTGGATCGTTAACAAGTGCTTTGGGTGCTGATGTTCAGGCAGGGATTGGGGAGGTGCTAGATGGCAGGGAACAGGAGACAGACCAGCAGCATCCTGCAGTGCTGTGAACAGATCGTATTGTAGAGCCTGAGACTGCTTCTATGGTGCTCAGCTCTGGTGGGTACTCAGTCCGCAAAACAGGGATTAGCACGTCAGTCTTGTTTGTCTCAGAGTCCCAGCAGCCTGGCCATCACTGGAACCCGCCTTCCCTCCCAGACTGTTCTAGGAGCAGGTCAGCAAAAGCCTCCTCCTGCTCCAAATCCTTCACCTCTCTACCACAGCTCCCTCCACAGTGCTCTGCTTCTACCTCAGGCCTTGTCACAGCTATTACAAACTGCAGTTGGATGCACCAGAGACTGGCGTGATGAGGATGACAGCAACAGGTAGCAATGCTAGATAGTGAGGAAGGCAACACATGGGGTGGGCAACAGGCATTATAGACTCTCCCAGAGTGAAATCAGGATGTTTTGAGCTAAAACAAAGATAAAACTAGAGCTCTCTCCACCTGGGTCCATGTTTGCAAAGCTGTGTGACACCCAGTCCTAGGCAGCGCTCCCCCCGAGGAAGCTGCCCCTACACCTACCATCTCCTCCGTGTCTGTGCCCTCCTCCACGCTGTCGATGTCTCGCAGGTCACTCTGCTCATCAGCTGCTGTGCTCTCCTTCCCTCGGGGTTCCCGCAGCATCTCCCCCACGGGGGATGAGGGTTCTTCACTTGCCTCAGCTTTCTTTTTCTCACTCTCCTTGGACCCTACAGGATCAGAGGCAGCAGAGGCTTTTGGCAGTGGCTTTGGTCAAACTACTCCTGGCAGGGTGCAGTTTTAGGTCATGCCCAGGACCAGGAGCCTCCAAACCATCCTGTATAGCTCCTCCCTTACCTCCAGGATGTTCCTTGTAGCCAGGCAATGTTATTGCAAAATGCCTTATTTATATAGGCAGCCATGGATCTAAACTGGCTGCTGCAATTAAGCAACTGCTGGCTGCTTGGCTTGGCCCTTAAAGTGGCAGGCACCCAGAGTGCCCTGCCACATAGACCAGCACCCCTCCCAGCCAGTGTGGCTGGGTCCACACAAGTTCACAATCCCGAGCTGCCCCAACAAGGATGGAGCACTGCACTGTTCATTGGGCCTTGGCCTTAATTAGAGAGGCACCAAGGGGTCTGAGCCACCGCAGAGGTCCTGCTGATCCTGATCCTGGACCCAGGGGTACCTGATCCTTTAGAATCAGGTCAAGCAATCTCACTGCCTGGACATTGCATTTGTGGTCTTATGTCAGCTTGTGCTCAGGAACATGTGCTGTGTGTTTATACCTGCCTGGTGTGTGCGCTCACATTTGCTGATGCATTCTAGCTTTCTAGATATCAGTGCAGTTGGAGCTGCACTGTTACCATGAAAGTCACTTAATGTGCCTGTGAGCAATGTGGACACCTCTTTAAATCATGCATATGGCACAAGCCATCTGCCAAATCCTGTTGATTTCTCAATTAAAGGCACTATCTTAAACCAATTTAAGCATGTGGGGTAGCTTGGGCCCTAACAGCCTGGCTCAGCTGTTCACACCACATTAAGGTATGTGACCTTGTTACTTCATGAGGTGCCCTCAGCCTGTGCCTAGCTGTTCCTACCTCATTGAGGCTTGTTATTTAGTTATTCAGAGCACAAACATGCAGTAGATCAATCAAACCAATTTCCTGTGTCAGTGCTGTGCAGCAGTCTGTGTAATGGCTGAAGCAGAAGACAGCCTCAGGATTAGCTGATCATTGCACAGCAGATCATTTCCCAGCTACCAAAAACACCTGCTATATGTGGCTTAGAATTTAGATGGAATCAGACCTGCCTCTCCCACAAGTGCTAGGATCATATGTGTAGACTACACTCCTTTGAAAGCAAAAGCTTTCCCTTCCCCCTCCCCTTCCCCTCTGTGTTTGACTCCATCCACTTTTCCCTTACCTGTCAGCCGCTCTCGTCTCTGGTCCATCCGGTCCAGACTCTCCAGCAAACTGTCCACCTGGGCTTTGATCTGACTCAGCTCTCCCTTAATGGAATGAAGCTCTTCAGCTCGCACTGCAAAAGGCAGATGGCAGGGCAGGGAGAGAAGATATTCGATTCCTTGCTTCCCCCCTGCAGAACTGTGAAGGGGGTCCTACACCTGGCTGAGAAGCTGACCTCAGAGCTAGTCTTCAGGCCATTCTGCAGGCCACAGACATAAATGGTTGAGCTCCTCCAAGCCACAAGCAGCTCCCTCCCCACAAGCTTGACCCGATGTGTGTTCCCTAATCTAAATGCAGAGCAGTTGGGCCAAACTTTCCAAAAAGGATGAATTACTTTTGCCACCCCATGGCCCCCTTCCCAATGCTGCCCATCCACTGAAAGGGATCTGATTTCCTGAGCTTCAAGGCCTTTTTAAGTTCCCTCAACAAGAGCTCTCCAAATCACTCATTTTGGCTGGTCCCAGCCTCAGGGCCTGGCTTACATGGGCACCTTGCACTTGCCACTGCTGTGCCTGCCAAGAGCCTGTGTGTGGTCACAGGCCTGTTCGTACAAACAGATAGCCCAGAAGAACTTTTCTAGTACACTTTTTGAAGGCTGCTTTTGAAAATTTGGCCTATATAACAGAGTTCAAGGTTGAGTTGTTTCTCTGTTGGGGCTGAGGGTTCTTAGTAGCAGGCTCCTTCATAAGCAGAACAGGCTCCTTTCAAGCAGCTCTGAACAAATGCTACTTGAGAGACATGCACATACAAATTAGAAAGCTCCATCTGAGACATGCAAACACTATGCTCCCTCTGAGATGCCTCCTTTGTGCCTCTCCCCTCCCTCCCTTCCTCTCCACGACACACTTCTTTCTTTGCAAACTAATAATCATCTTTCACTATTGCCATGACACTCCAAGCATCTTCTAGAAGTAGTCAGATTGACCGCCCAAACTCTGAACCTTCCTATCCCAACCATGTAGCACTTACATTTTGTCCGACCCACTGCTGAGTTACTGCTGCTTCTTGGCCCAGTGTGGGGGTTCAGGCTGCTTTTCCCTCCTGTCCCCAAGTGAGTTCTCCTGGCCTTGACAGGAATGCGATTAATAAGTGGGGGGATCTTCTGGTACTCATACACTCTAGGAGGGAAAACAAACCACACCAGCATGAGAACAGAGGTAAAACAGAACCCCTAGCATGGTCTTCTACAAAATGACACAGAGACTGTACATTGTGACACAGAGGGTCTTTAGTGTCCACTAAGAAAATGGAACTGTGGGTTCAAACCCCACTTCTAATACCATGTGGAGTGAGTCAAGACACATCATGCTCCATATGCTTAAGAAAATAATGTCCTCTTACTCAGAGGTCCTTCCTATGCTGTAGCCTGGTCCACTGCTAGAGGATGCACTCCATGACTTCAGTATTTTTGCACAAGGGCTGTTAGAAACTGGTGGCAGCATCCTCCTTGCTAGGGTGCAGAAACATGGCCAGAGCTTGCTGTCCCATGCTCACCTTTATTCCCTGTCTGTCCATGTCTTCTCCTTCCAACCAGAAGTATCACCCCTTCCCCCTGGCTGCTGAGAGAACAAGGGGCTGCTATCTGCTGGGAATCAGGAGGGCTGATTGCCTGAGAATGCAAACCAGCACACTCTTGAGGGGATCTGGGGCCTGAAGTCTGATGTGTGCCTGCCTCAGTGGAGGAGATGGGCACACTCCAGGCCCTGTTCTTCCTTACTAAGACCATTCATTTCTTGCAATGGCCTAAAGCAAATGTTTCAAAAACAAGCCAATCCCAGAACAGACTTTAACCCGCAGAAGTCCTGCTGGTAGGAGGGGTAAATGTGAGGGCCCCAGGCTGCTCTCTGAAGCATTTGGCACTACGCTTATAGTTGAGAGGTTTGTGACACAGAATGGGGGAAGCAGTTGCTCCTTTAAAAGTAGAGCTACCAGCTCTTTAACCTCCTTGAATTGCACTGGGAGTCACACAATGAAGATATGCACATTGCATTCAGGCTGCCCAGTGAATTTCAATGCACAGCAATGGACTTTCACTGAAGATGACAAAGTCCCAACAGACACTGACAGAGGGCACAATCTGGACTCTGTGGTTATTAACTGCTGGTGCCTTTTGCAGCTAATCAACCAACTGGTATAAAACAGAGGCATAATAATGAGATTGGGGACCATATCCCACATGGCTACAATTCAGGACAGCTCTGCTTTTCTTCAGAGGAGACAACCCAGTAACCATCTCCAATCAGGACACCTCAGAGAGGGGCTTTCTTACAAGTGCTGATCACTGACTTCCAGATTAGTTTCTCTCCTGTGCTGGACTCTTCCTGAAAGGAGTGTGTTCACACAGATGTCTTTGCCACCACCACACCCTCCAACCGCCACCCCCCCCAGGCTGGACAGAGACCACAAGGCTCCTTGAGGGCTGGATCTGGACACAGCAGCAGTGGCAGCAAGCAGTGGCAGCAGATGTGAAGTTAAATGCAGCCATTGATCACCAAGAAGGCTCCAGGCCCCAGATTTTGGTAGTAGCCCCCTCCCCCCATTACTGATCCTTCTGGGAGCTTGCAGGCCACATAACATGGCTGTGTATTTGACACCCCCAGGTAGCACATGCTTCCACTGAAGATTTCACTGGGGCCTGTGTACTGGGGTCTGGTGGATGTCACACCCATGCTCCCACTGTAAGGCTGGTGCTTGGAGCTGCCCAGCCCACGCTCCGTAGCAGGTTGAAGTATAGACATGCTAAGTTAGGAGGCTACAGCAACTCTTGGCTGACATGGCTCAATTGTGAGTCTGGTCAGTGAAGGGATGAGCACCTATGTCATGGAGCTGGGGTGGGGGAAAGGGAGCTCCTACACATGCAGCTGCGTACAGTAAATGGCTACAATAAACAATAAATAGTTTTGAAGAACTGGGAGATAGCTTGTGCTCTTGTGCCCCTCCTCCCTGCCTCCCTTACTCACCGGTAAGGGAAATCATCTCTGTAGAGATCATAGTCCAGGTCACAGTTACTGCTGCAGAAGGGAGAGAAGAGAGTAAAGATGTATACAGCAGTTCACACACATTGTCAGACAGGGCAAGGACCCAGGCATCACCTGCATCCACTGTGCCAATGTCACAGCTGTGCCACCCAGCAACAGTGCCCCAACCCCATCCAGGGAGGAGGGGAGACAGAAATACCCACTTAGTATTTGAGATTCCTCTGCTTTTATAGTGTGACAATCATACTGAGGGGCACTCCTGGGTTATGGGGAGCACTGGCAATGAGGTCAACTGCAGATTACTGTGGTATTGAGAACTGTTTGAGCCTGCAGGGAAGATTAGTGCAGATGGTGTATTGTGATTATAGAAGACACAGTACCTCTGGACTATGGGAAGACTAATTCTGAGGTGAGGCCTCTGAACAGTGGAGGAGGCTAGCATAAAGTCTAGCTCCAGATTCTCTGAAGTTTTAGATCAGGAAGATGTCTAGGCCCCAGCAGGGAGTTTATTACTCAGTGTGTCTGTAGTGGAGTAGGGAGTTGAGCATCAGGATGCAGAGATGAGCCTGCTCTATCAGTCAGAGCAGGCCCCACTATCTGGGAATCTGCAGTTATAGCTTTCTGATGTTAAATTTCACGGTTTCTGGTTTTGTGCACACACTGTCTGCTCTTTCAGCTCCAAATTAAGAAGCGATCTGTCAGCGAGAGCACCTCCAATGCAGGAAGCCGACATGCCTGTAATAAATCATGTGCCGTGAACCAGGAGCCGGGGGGGCGGGGAGAAGGGTATAATAAAATATTCTGTAAAAGCTCATTTTGCTGGTTCAGCTCTTGCAGAAGCAGTGACTGGTAGATTAATACTAATGTGAAGTTTTGCTCTGGCGTGTCACCAGATTGCTAAAGCTCCCCCTCCCTCCCTCCCCCCCCGTGACAGCAGCAGGAACAGGGCACAGAAGCCACAGTCCTGAGCAAGACTGTCTGGGCTCCAGCTTTCCTGTTAGAATCAGCAGAAGTGCCTGTGATGCTCATGAAGGGATCAGTGTTCAGTCTCTGTGAGGAAGGACCGCCCTGTGGCTCAGGCAGAGGGCTAGGAGTCAGGACAGCTGAGTTCTGGACAGCCCTGGAATTGCTTTGTGAGTTTTGAGGAGTGACTTCCCTTCTCTGTGCCTCAGCTTCCTTCTTTATAAGAGAGCTAAGGAGTCTCAGCTAGCACTATGAATCGGTTCTAAGATTTAGTTCATACACATTTTGAAAGCACTTGGTGGTCCTGGGATACAGAGAGGTAGGATCTGAGGTGACACCACATCTCCAAAGCCTGGAGGGCCAGATGTGAGAATGCAGAAAGCATCCAGCTGTGTATAGGGTACACATCATCAGCAGACTAAAAGCTGGGGCAGCACATACTCTACTCCCCCACAGCTAGCAACTGCAAATAGGCAAAGTGTTTGCTGGGCCAGGTATTCCTGATGATGAGTCATTGCTTAGTTCAAAGAAGTGCAGACCAACTGACTCTGAGCTAGTCTGTTCAGAAGGAGTCACCCACATCAGCAACCATCCTGTCTTGGGCCATCATCTCCAGCTATCCAAGCACTAGGCAGGTGCAACAAGGTGGTGAGGGTGACTGAATTCTGACCCTGTGCCCCATCATGATGGCTATGATTAGATCTATCCAGGATATTAAAAAGCACCTAGCCAGGGCCTGCCATAAACTGCAAGTGCGAACCTAACTGATGCTTAGGAACACAGTGCCATCTCCCCTCTGAGACTTCAAGTCAAGGTCCTGACCAATTGTCATTAAAATCTCATAATATTTTCAACAAAGTGGTGGCATCCTGGCCAAATTCCAAGCAGAGGAATTACATTCTGCTGACCTAAAATTCCCCTGGAGTTTCAATTAAACACACTATTGATTTTCACTTCTACTTTGCCTGGGTACTAGAATGCTTTCAGCAGCGCATGCCCAGGACACATGGCACAGGCCTCTAGACCTTCTGTTCCTGTATCCTTTTGTTCTGATATTGGCCAGGAGGTTTCAGAGGAAGGTGTAAGGCCTCCTAACACAGGAGAAACTCAGGAGAATCTTAGATCACAGAGCGAAAACCCTTCCTGACTCCAGCCAGCTGCAGCAAGATTGCTAGACCTTGCTCTGTACCCCAGTCAGTGTAACCTCAGACACCACCCTTACCCAGTGGGGCAAGTGGCACTGTGTTAGCACAGCCCTCCCTCACCACACTGCTGCTGACAGCCGTGCACAACAGGCCCCATAGCCCCAAATTCTGTGACAGGCTGTGCTCCCTGCTCACCCTGCCTCCAAATTCCCTGGCTCAACAGAAGCCCTATAAGCCTGAATTGTACTGAGGTATGTGTCTCAGTCATAGTCATTGGCAGGGAGTTCCCCAAGTTATTGACAGGCTGCCTTAAAACAAACGTCAGTTTAAATCTCTTGTCTTTGAATCGCAGCAAGTGTCTCTTTGTGAGAAACATGACCAGGACCACAGCCGAATTATGCATAGGCAAACTAGGCACATATCTAGGGCCCTAAATGAAGAAGGGGTCTAGTTGTACATATTTTACATATTATAATTATTGAGTGAAAAAAATTAATATAAGAATTTCATCTTCAGCTGGGGTCCCTGAGTTTGTTTGCCTTGGGCCCACTAGAGGGTTAATCTGGCCCTGACCAGAACTCCAGGCTCAATCTCCCATGGAGAAATGAGAGGTAAATGTACTTGTCTTGCAAGTACAGAAATTCCTGACAAAAGCCTTCCATGCCCCTGCTATATTCTCTTAGCATCCCACTATTAACAAGAGGCTGGCTGGTCATCTTAACTCAGTGTATTTAGCAGTAGACCAGGGGGGTTTGAGCTGGTCATACCTGGTATGTTCAGCAGCAGGTAGATTGCAGCTACCATGCAAGTACTTGAATTGTGCAGGCACTCTAAATGAAATATTCCACATCACAGCAGGCACATACCTGGGATGTTCTGCAGCATCTGTAATGCCCAAAGCACACACAAGGTGCACTGTCTTTGGATGTACGTGGCTAACAGAAACACTTCACCTGGATGCACATGGAATACTCCACCTTCCATCTGGATACCCTCAGGACCTTCTGCATCAGTTGAGTGAATTAGAAAAGGCAAAGGGTGGCAGTGTGGGGGAAGCCTGGGGTAGCCAAGTGGGGTGTCTTCACATGATGTGAACAAGCTGAAGGCTTGCGGGGGCAGAGGGGAGGGGTGCATTCAGAGAATCCTCTTAGGCCGACGCTGATGAGCTCTTATGTTCCCACCTGTCTTGACTGGCTGCATTTTCAGCACAATTTAGAATTCTGCTAATGGAGCCTGGCAGTGCGTACAGCAAGGCGGGGGAGACGTGGGAGCCACATTCCCTTCCTCATGCTTAGAATAGATACAGAATAATTGAAATTTTTCACTTGTACGCCCTCCTGAAAGCCCCTCACTCCCCCACCCACCAACTACTTTAGCTTACCCATTGATGCTGAAGAAAAAGGCCTTTAATGAATTCCAGCTATGCCTGGGCAAATTGTAGCTTTTTGGCTTATATTGCTGAGCATGGCAGGGTGACTGGTGGCAAATCAGATATACATGCCTTGCCACTGAAACATATATATGCCTTGCCACATCCCACCAGCACTGTGTAGCAGTTCCTGCCAGATGGCAGGGTGGCTTTGTGGGCTCATAGGACTCTGGGGATCTGGGTTTAATCCCCATCTTTGCCACAGAATCCTCATGTGACCTTGGGCAAGCCATTCAATGTCACTGTGGCTTAGTTCTGCATCTGTGAAATGGAGACAATGATCCTTCTCTTACCTGCTTGGTTTATTGTGTTATACCTATCACAGTGTCACAAGTGAGCTGGGTTCTATATATATATGCACATGCGTGCACACGAGACTGCTTCTTCCCCCCCCACAAGAACCTACAGCCTATAAATGAGGAGGAAGTCAAGGCTTAGGGAAAGGAAGCAATTTGACCAGGGTCAGCCAATAGGTCAGGGGCAGAGTCAGAAACAGAAACAAGGACTCCTGAGTCCCTGTCTAGCCCGTGCCCGCATGCACTACGTCACAACATGTAGAAGGAGTCTGCTCAGCCTCTGAGACTGACTCATTCTGCAATGCCAGTTAGCTTGCTGTACTCAGCTTCCTCAGCCTTAAACTAGGCATCAGCCACAGAGAGGTAGCATGAGTGACTTCAGGGAATTTTTCTCTAATTTCTCTGTATCAGGTACACACCCTTTCCCTGGGGACCTGGGAAGCAGCTTTAAAAGCGGGAAGGAACATTTCAGCCTTTCATTTTATATATGGCCAAAATCCCATGTGGATACTTAGGATCCTTCTGTGAGGTCACCTACTGATTGATGCATTATAGCAAGTGACCACCTCAGAACACTGGGCTCATCCTGCTTAATTATAGCCCAGAAGACACATGTAGATGTGGGCTTTAGTGCACAGTAGCCTATTTTACTGCGCATTAAAGCATCACATAAAAAACTGCAAATACACTAATGCACAGTAAAATAGGCTACTGCGCATTAATCGTCACAAAAAAAGTGCGCTTTTGCTACTGTGCATTAGAGCAGCTTAATGCACATTTATTTAGCACCTCACATTGGAGGTACTAAATTTAGTGCGCATTAGGAAAAGCTCATTAATGCACGTGTAGACTTACCCAGCGTGTTGGTAAAAGCAGCCTCTGCTCTCCTACTGCTATAGGGTGTGCCATCTCTACAATCGTTGAGGGACTACTGAAGGAGTCGCAACATGGAGTTCTGGGAGCAGGGCACAATATTGCATGGGACTTACCTCCCCTCTCCCTATGTATTATACCTATACATGCAATTTCCGGGGCGGGGGGGGTTGGGTAAGGACATACTTTAGGTCACATGCTTCTGGAGACAATAAGAGCTGGAATGCCCTGGCCAGGAAGAATACTGGAACCCATGAAGGCAAGCATTCTAAAATAAGATACATGACATTCCATTTCCACGTGCCCCCATAGTGTAGCTGGGAAATG